ATTTTACTTCCGTAATATGAGCGTATAGCATGAAGTTACTTCGGCTACATGAAAATTACCAGTGCATTCACAAGGATTCGAACTATGGACCTCCCAACTACCAGCCGAACATGATTTCAATTATACCAGAAAAGCATGCGCTTAGAAAGTAAAAATTTGCTTACGATCTTCCCCCACATAAATGGCGACCGAAAAAGAAGGGAACTAGTCACCAAACCAGGTGATTACGAATTATCGTTCCACCCCAATTTAGTTCGGGTATTGCTTTCATTTAAAAAGATCTTTTTGAAGCCGAGAAACATGAAAATTCAGCGATGCCCTCATGCTTCCAGTTCCATCACGGAGGCATTCAGTCAGGAAGAAGAAAATTCCGTATAAGCATTCCTGTTGTTATAGAAGTCAAATGTATGAAAAGTATCTGCATCTCTATGCGGAAGATGAAGGAAAGCAATTTTGCTGTTCCTTTAAGCGTAAGATTAATCTAAAATTGGGCTCTTTTTGTTTTAAAAACTATTTAAATAATATCCTTCTCGAAACAAATTAAACTGTGATTAACACCATAGCCAGAAAATGTCGAGCTTACTAATAGCGAAATAATTTCGTCTACTCTAGGGAGAGTTAGAAAAGAAACAAGATCTAAATCTGTATCTTCCCCTTAAATAAGTCAGGAAATAATTTTGAGATCAGCAAAGGTATTTTTATGTATTAAACTTTCTCCTAAGACTATTCGTATAGTAACTATACGAATTCATTCTATGTCATTGTTAACTATTGCACTCTCTGTTCTTCATTAAGCAGAAACTAGTCTTCAGAAAATTATTCTGATTTATAAATCTGTTCGAATACAATACAAGATTGCTTGTTAAATTATAAATTCCCCTTGGAGATCATTAGTGAGTAGCCATTGCACATGTAAGTATTAAATGTTAGCTCGTATATCTTTTCTACGAATTACGCATTAGTTGTAGAAGTCATTACGCCTTAGGCCTTTCATCTCTGAAATGAGTTTTTCTCCATTAATACATAATGTCCTTAAAACGCCCTTGATTAAATTACTTAAAATTCAGATCATACGTACTAGTTTTTGATTTATATAAAAGTGTGAAATGTTAGAGCAAAAGCGTTTATTAAATGTTTTTGCTTTCATAAACATTCCTGAACTTACTGAAAAGTTTTGATATAAGTATAAACCTGAAGTACCTAATTACTACGAAGCGAAGCAAAGGATGCATTATTCTGCCCGTTATACCAGATAGTATCTAACGTAATTATGAGATACTATTATTGCATAAGATGTTATCTGACTCTGTTTGAAAGCGTTAATTGTGTTATGTTATTATTGTTTCTCGAAGCAAATCATAAATCTTAGGTTAATAGCTTCATTCTAAAAAAATGACGTTTAAACTCTGATTTTTACATGCACAAAATGCATTTAGCGATATTGTAAATGTCCTGTATTTCAAGATTCCTTAGAACTGGAGAACTGATATAACGTATAAAATAAAAATGTTAGCACTAGCATTTGAAAAATAATATCGAAATTTGAGATAAGAATGGAGAATCAAGTAAAGAAACACATCATATGCAAAAGGGAATCTCCTTTTCTAAAACATAGAAATAGTGTTATTAAAACAATTTATTTTCTAATTTGCATTAAACCTCTAATATTTAATACCAGTTTCCATTCAAGGACCGTAGAACATATATTTTGTACTAAAGTGTGTTCAGTTGCGACATTTATAAGAACTAATATTTTTTGAAAGAAACTACATCACGTTATTCATATATTTTATTAAATTATTGTTATTATAAGCTCTAAAAATATTTCAAATTAGTCTCTATTTCGTATCTGTTACTATTTTTTCTGAGCAACTAAAATTAGTTGCAGTTTTTTTATGAAAACGTTTTATCTCTTGCTTACATTTTTATTACAGTTTACATCCCAGTTTCACATATTTGTATCCATATTTTATTTCTCAGAGATAATATTTGTGTCATGAACGATTTTTAAACATTATACTGAAGTACCTTTCCACAGTAAGAAGAATCCACTCTGCGAGGGTTGATCAATCTTTACTGTTATTTTCTCTTACTTTATTACAAAATTCGATGATTTTGCTATAGCATAGTAGAAAAATATGTTTCAATGCTAACATATTTATCATTTGCTGAAACATATTAGTAGGAGTATAGTAAAATGGGTAGGTCTTTCAAATGGGTATGTTAAAATAAAAGAGATGAATTTTATTACCCGGGGCAATTCAGTAATTCTTTTCTTTAAATCACGCATGTTATAAATTCACTCCCGTATTAGAAACATGAAAATTTCATAATTACCGAGCATTTCAGACAACCAGTGTACTTTCCAAACGTGCTAAATGTTTGTACAATTTTAAGTTTTCTGCAGTTATTACAGAATAGATAACTTAAAAATTAAAAACTTGAAAATACTCCTGACGATCTCACATATTTATTGACATACCTATAGATATACTTAATTATTAACAGTTAACGTATTTTGATTAACATTAGATTAGCATATAAAGAACACTGCATAATTTAAATTTATGTGTTTTGAAATTATTGCTTTCTATTAATGCCGAAGTTAGAAAAACAAGAGATTCCAACTACGCCAAATTATCTGTGTAAGGAGTTAGAATAAGTCAAGGAAAGCCTTCCAGAGAAATGAGAAAATCCTCTTTCATGGAAGTTAAAATAACATATGGTTTTAAATATACTCATATTGCTTATTCGTTTGATCCCATTTAGCTTCATTCCTAATAAATAATTATCACTACCAGTAAAAATGCATCATATCTGGGGTTCTCAGGCAGGGTGGGAGAATTAGTTTTACCTTATGCATATAAAATCTGTTTTTATTTAAATTTTGATATTTATCAACATTATCTATACTTTTTGGTGCCCAGTTTATAAAAAAAGCTGAAAATAATCTAAATCTAAATGTATATGTATTGTTCAATTTTCGTTAAGAAGCGAGGATGATCTTCTAGCGAGAGGGATGCGGGGGGGAAGAGAGGTTGAGAACCACTGTGCTACAAGGTAAAAAGGTTCAGCATAGCATTCAGAGCAGCAGATAGAAATGAAGTAAAACTTAAGGGGAGTTGGAACTCCAAAATCTTCCAAAAATTGTGATTTCGGATTTTTGCATTTTCAAATTCTCTACACTTTTATCTTTCTAAAAATACCATTCTTTAATCTCTATGAAAATTAGAACTGTAAAAAAATCTAGTTTTAATTTGTCATTTACTGCTTTGATCAATGAGGATTTTTATATAAAAATGCGTTTTTCTCCAAACGTGATTTTTTTATACTCGATGTACCTTTTCTCAGGAACTACTGATCACAGGTATCTAAACTTTTTATGGCTTATTTATTAGGTTTCAAATATTTACTGAAATGAGCTTTTTGTAATAAACATAGGAAAAAAATTTTTAATTTTTTTGTGTGAGAAAAGTGCTAAATTTTACTATGCCTAACAAAATATCCTGTAATTTACTCTAAAATTCAAAATGTTTCAAAAGCTCATTTCAGTATAATCAGATAGGTATACTTTAATTACAGAAAAAATTTCAAGCTTGTATCTACAGCAGATTTTGAGAAAAGGTACATCGAAAATGGCCAATTTAACATTGTCGGTATAGGGGTTTCTAACATAATTCTAAGTATCTTAAATGGAAGTAAAGAAAGAAATATTGCACAATTTCCACTTCTAAAGCCAATAAAATGTTTCTTGAAATTCAGCAATGTATATAGAATCAGTCAGAAGTTTGTTGTTAGTTTAGCTTTAAATAGTGGGCTAATTTAAGCTATTTAGAGTACTACTGCAATCTAAATATTCACTAAGTATACTTTAAAGAAATAACAGTTATAGTTTGAATATATAATAAAATGTCATGAATGAGTAAGGATATTAAGTTTTCTATAAACCTCTGCTTTAAGTGATAAATTTAAAGAGTTAGAATATGGGCTTCACTTTAGAGTTATGTTTACTGAGTACAGTTAGAAACGTATCATGATAACAATAGATTAGAAATAAAGAAACAAATTAATTTTATCGTAATTTTGAGTATATGTGTACTATTTTCATCTCTTTTACAAAAGTGAAAACTTTTCCTTAACAGCCATAAAAGTGCAAATTTATCTGCCTAATGGCACACGCAAAAGCACCAGTGATATTAGGTTGTCCGGAAAATAATGCAGGTTTTTAACGTATATATTTAAAGTACCATAACTCAACTCGAAAACAATTTTATTAATCACAGTAAGCACCAGCCGAATTAATGCATTTTTGCAAACGAGATATAAGTCTATTTATGTCGGTAGAATAAAATTCTGGAGTTCTGGACGCGGTAAAATTGTTAAAAGGTTTTGGGCCTCGTCTTGATTCCTGAAGCATTTCTTCTGCAGAATGTTATCTGCAGAAAAAGTGGTAATCGGTTGGCGAGAGCTCAGGCGAATATGGGGAAAGAGGGAGTGTCTCGTATCCCAATTCGTTCAAGTTCTGTAGGGTCAGTTGCCTGACGTGCGGCTGAGCATCGTCATAGAGAAGAACTGGCCTCTTTCTGTTGATTAATGCCGAGCACATGCGTAGCAATTTTTGGTGCATTTCGTTGATTTACTGAGAGTACTTACCTGCCGTAATCGTTTCGCCCACATTTAGGAAGCTGTGATGGATGAAACCGGCCGCAGACCACCAAACAGTCACCATAATTTTCTTTTGGTGCAAATTTGGCTTTGGAAAGTGTTGTGGTGTCTGACCGCGGTCCAACCGGAGCCGAATGTCACCAGTTGTTAGGGAGAATCCACTTTTCATCGCACGTAACAATTCGAGCAAGAAAAGGGTCATTTTGTTGCGGAAAAAAAGAGCAGGCGACACTTCAAAACGGCGTTTTTTTTTATTTTCGCTCAATTCGTCAGGCACCACACCTTCTTTGACTTTCCTATACTATTCAAGTGATCAGAATTGTTGTTTTGCTTACGTCAAGCTCCTCCGCAAGCTCTCGAACAGTTGTGCATAGGTTTGTTTCAACTAAAGTCTTCAAATCTTCGCCATCAACAGCTGAAGAGTGTCCACGACGCTCTTGATCTTGCAGGTCAAATTCTCCCCGACGAAACGTTTGGTACCACAGTTGAACTGTCGATTCATTAACACTTTTCTCGTCCCATACTTCGTTGACATTTTGAGCAGTTTGTGCTGCGCTTCGGCTTAGCTTGTACTCATAAAAGTAAATTTGCCGAAAATCTCGTTTTGACATCTCAACAAAAACACATCGTAAATATTTTTAAAAATAATTTTGGAACAAAATGGTTATTATAGGAATATAGAGCGAAAATAGAGCTTCAAAATGATCTATAAATCAATGTAATTCAAAATGCTTTTGTTGCTAAAAATGTACAGGAAAGATAAACAATTGCAAAAACCTACATTATATTCCGGACAACCCGATATCTCCATTTGAAGGTGAGGACCGTCTAATTTACAGTCGTATTGTATATTGCATAGCATACAGAAGACAAAGGTCATTAGGTGGCACGGTATCTCTAGAACCCTCAAAATTTTTCTCCATCCAAATTCTATTTTGATGTTTTTCCACACATATCCTTGCCTATGATAGAATCTAACAATCTGTACTAAATAATTAACACAGTTATTCTATATCTGGCTGTGAAAAATCTACTATTGGCAATTTTATTGTGACTCTTTAATTTAAACCATATTAATAATCATACTGTAATAATTATTTAACAAATGAATTTTTGAAGAATCAATTTCGAACTACTACGCGAAACAGAAATAAGGCACAGATAAAATAAAATAAATATTATTGAACATAAGAAGTTTCTTTGGATAAAATAATGTAGTTTGTTACCGAAGCTGAGATTTTCGGAGTTAAATCTGACGCTTTTGGTAGTAATGCCCAACCAAGTTTCCGAGGCACGTAGAAATTTCCGATAGTTCACAAAGAAAGGGACTTGAAAGCAATCTGTCATTGGAAAGCCTCTTATTTTTTAGAGAAGTCTCAAAATATGTCTAAATCCACTACGTTGGTCTATAGATTGAACACGTCAGCCATCATAATACATGTTACATGTTTCTATGATAGCTGTTTTCGTAAGTGAAATTTAGTCTGAGAATCTTTATTCAATAATCTTTTTTATTCTTACTAAACTGAATTAGATCTGCGTTAATATTTTCGAATCGTTCCCAGTAAAGCATACAACAATAACTATTCATAACTTAAAATAATGACCCATTTTCGAAAGATTGTATAATACAAGTTGCAAGATATATAAATTACCAAAACCTTTGAAAGAAACATATTTGTTGCATAAATTTTTAAAGCGTACCTGCTAACATTACATACAACATGCTAAAGGAAAGCAAATTAAGCATTTTATTAATAACTTAAAATTATAAATGCATGTAATTAGTTTTCCTAGTAGAATACAAATATTAATGAAAATTTTATCAGCTTATGACAATCTGTTTGAATTTCTAGCACACTGCATATGTTTATGAATAATTTATAAAGAACACATTTAAAGGCTTTTCTCGAAATTACTTTTTTTCCACTAAAGACCATGATTTTTCCTGATCTAGATATTTATTAAAGAATGCAGTTCGTAAACAATAGTTCTTGTAAGCATTATTAAATGAAACTATTAGACAAGCTAGTAAATATAGCTTTAGAATTATTTTAAGTTTCGTTGCATGTAAATGCTATTAACAAGTTCTAAAAATAAAGGTAATTTGATTTATATATCTAAAGTTATACCTCTCTCACGTTTAACTAACTTGGATTGCTTGTCTTCAACACCTAACGGATATCTATATGTAATGGTTGAATTTATATGTAATGGTTGGTTTGTTAATACTTAACTACTAGTACACAAGATAAAAAAAATCTGACATAAACTTTTATTAGCCACAGCTTCTGGGCGGTACATTTAAAATGGAAACAAACTAAACTATTAAACCTCTCGTCAACCTGAAACAAGAGATGCTATCAAAGATTTAGAGATTATTACAACGCAAAATCTACCCGATTTACCCTATACTTCGGGTTGAAATAGAAAACTAGCTAACTTCTTAACACTTATCGCGTACCGTGAAATTTTTGATAATTCTAATCATTACTCTGCGAATGGCTTCACGGCAAAAGGATAGGATCGAGGAAAAAGTTTCAATAATCTAATGGTAAGATTTCCATCCTAATTTTAACTATCAATTTCGAACATTTGTTAACAAAGCTGGCATTCTCCTGCTCAAACCATTGAAATAAATTACTTTATCCATTTCAAAATAGGCCAGCCAGTGGCCGAACGGTAAAGTCGCTGAACACTGGTAGTTCGGTTCAGAGTTCGAATTCCGGCAAACGAGCTCATTGCATGGGCATTTTCGTGGTTTTCCCCATGTGTAACTTGTATACGAATCAGTTTCCCTTAGAATGACCTTCACGAAGGCATCCTTTTCCTTAGACAGATAATCCTCGAGTGCTTTGGCAAAATTAAATAAATTAAACTAAACCAGACCATTTCAAAATAAAGTAGGGAAGATAGAAAGAAATTAAACAACACGCATGAATTAAAAACCTCATGCTGGATTGAACCTCATGTTGGATTTTATGGGAAAGAGAAAGCTGATAAAGCAGGCTGCACTTGGAGATGGATCTTTTATTAGTTACACTTCACAGGCTCAAACAAAAAAGGCTCTAACACAAACGATAAAATAAATTGCTGGAGAATGGCTTCAAAGCTGGTAACTGTCCAAAAAATATTAATTATTTGACACTCACATCATTTCGATAAAATATCAAAATATATAATGACACTGAATTAAATTAAGTGATCAGGAACGGTCTCAGCTTATTTAGGCTTGATTTGAAAGGTTCTTATCTATGCAAAGAGTGTAATATTCTAGGAGATAACAACAAGCACTTGTTGTGTCTTTTAACACAGAGCTCAAGAAAATCTGTAACATTTTCACGAGAAATGATGAAAAAATTTATTAATAATAGAAATATAGCAAGATTGAGATATGAGCGGAAAATTTTGTGTTATCGATTTACTTTAACACGAATTATTTTCCGTTCACATTATTTATAGATTAGTGTGTATGTGGTCAGATCTAATGAGTGAAGGGGTTCTCTCTTTAAATCTACTTCATGTAATACATTTTGGTAATTCTTATTTTTAACCTCTTTTGTTATTCACTTCCTGCACCCTAGCTTTCTTGAATATTTAAAATGATTTCCATTAATCAAATATGAGATAATCTGTATCCCTTTCTATAACATGTATAAGCACTTTCCTATGGCTACTTTCCTATGGCTGAACATCTGTTTTGTTAGATGGGTCACCCTTAAATCCGCTCAAATTAAATCAAATGCTAGTTTTAACTAAGCTGCTTGCCGTAAAATTTGTATAAACTTCTATTCTGTGCAAGTATCTTGAGGAGACAAAGAACATAGGATTGCAGTTAACGTAAAACTATTAACTGGAGAAGAAAAATATCATAAGGTTAGATAAAATATCATCTTCTCTTAAACAAGTAACTGTTAAAAATGAAAGTATACTTTTTCAATATTCCAACAATATGAAACTAGATTTAGCCTCCGATTTCTAAATTTTGATTATTAAAATTTCATTATCTGCCATGACCTGTTTTAAAGATAAAATGTCCTTTTATTCGGAAACAACTGGTTTGGTTTATAAATTTACTTGTAGGTAAAAACTATCAATAAAATTCAAACTGAAACATAGAATAATTACTTTAATATATTAAATATATTACTTTAATATATTAATAATTATTTTAATATGTTAAATTTTGCTGCCCTTATTTGTTTTGCTCGAATTCTTGTATTATTAATTATTAATTTCCCTGTCTCTTCAAAGACTTCTCGTTAGGAAGGGTTACATTATAATACGATCATAAATTTAACAGTGTTCAGCTTGTGCTTCAACATGCTAGTTTAAGCTGAAACGATAATTGCATACTGAATTATCAGTCGAGTAATGCCTATTTAAATATAATTTTCACGACATTTTAACTAATAAATATCAAAGATAGTAGCATATCAATCTATTAATGCCGATGATTGCGTTACTATCCACAAGAGATTACTGAAATCGAAATGCATTAGAACACGGAGATTAAATAAAGAGGAAAGGTGACGTAATGATGAATGTAAAAGTTAATGCTCTATTTGGATCACAAAAAGGCTGTTATGAGCAGTAGGATAGCATAAATTACTGTCACTGTGGCACAAATAGGTGGAAATATCACTCTTTATGGTCATATAAATAGATGACCTGCATTTAGATTGCCTATTGATTCAAACTGTGTATTGTAAGAGACCAGTAATGGAAATAAGAAGCAACAACAGTCAGAATTCAAATATAATCTTAATAACAAGCAGAAACTGAGCATAAATGATCAGCATTTTTGTAAGCAAGGAATGTGTCTGCTAAGTGGCAAATTCAAAGTTAATTTCTTAGTACAAGAAAATAATTTATAGGTTATATTTTGAAGCAGCCCGTTTCTTACATTGATGTTATAGCTGGATTTGAACTCATCCAGTTACAAATTACAAGAAACACACGACCATCTAGAAGAAAGATAAATTAGAAAGCTTTTTTTGGCATATAACCATTTTAATTTACAGAGATAAAGTACTCGGGTTCAGTTCCAGTCGAATAATAAATTCTGTATAAATTTCAAAAGACGGATGTCAGAAGTAAAAGCGTGTCATAATTTTAATGCGAAATTATTTGATCTCCGAGGGAACGAATAAAAATTTATGATTTAAATTTAATTGAGAATTATCTATACAAAAGCCACATCAATTAAATTTCAAGTTTAGATATTTGAAAATATATTTATTCTCAAAAATAGTTTTAAGTGGGTTAGCAGATAAATGGAAAAGTATAAGGCAAACCAAAAGAAAAGAAGTCGCAAACATTAACCTTTCTTCTTAAATTAAATACTGCTCTCGCGCTGCTTTGATGTGAAATATGCTAATATATATTCTCCCTCCCTCCCATTTTGAATTTTTTTTTCGGGGGGGGGGGAATTACGAAACCTAGAGGTCATTTAGATGTCTCATGACTCATGACCAAGAGCATTTTCTAAAGTGCATTAAATGTGATGATTGATATTACACTCGCGAGAAGGGGAAAGGGCCAAAATATAGTATACAACCAAGTTTTACGCTGGAGTCAAATCCATAGTCTTGATTTCGGACTAGTAGTC